ACTTAGGAGCTAGAAAACCACCGACTGCACTTGACCGAGAGCTAGGGAAGAAATTTCTGGAATATTTCGTGTGAAGGATTAGCTGCTAACTGAGGTAATTTCTGATCTAATTAGGTTGATTATTGGTTGAGCAAGCTGCATCTGAGATTGCATGTTTAGATTATACAATCGGCTACTGGAATCAAACCATTAGGAAATTTCTGTTTTGACAAAATGTTGCTATCGAGACTTTGAGGAGTTAATGCAACTCCATTTGCGTTTTCTGTGGCATCTGAACACCTAAGTGCCTTTAGCTGAGTGAAGACTTGAAGATTTAGACCATGCATGTTGTATTGTACATTCGGATGATGTGTTAAAGCAGAGGAAATTTCTGGGTTGGGTTAAGAAAATTTCTGCCGAGAGCTTAGCTTAATTATTGCAGCTTAATTTGGTTCAATTTTGTTGCTGTCAAACTGATTTTTGGTCTGGATATGATAGCTAGTTAATTCAGCAGTTGTGCATGTGAAATTTAAGTGCAAAATATAGGATTTAACCGTAGAAAAAAATGGTTTGTGACTAAACAAATGCTGGAAGAGTTTCTGATTTGGCCGAGGGCTTAGCTTGAATTTTTGCAACCTGATTTGGTTTAATGTTGTTGTTTAAACTTATAACCATGATTAGATGGTTAATAACAAGTTAATTAGGCTCTGCATGCAGCTAATTAGTTAGTTTAAACCAGAAAAATAAAATAAAAATGCAATCTGTTGCATGCATGTTTGTCCGAAGCTAGCTGTACAGAAATTCTGGAAATTTTGGGGATTTGCAGCTGTTGTCTAAGTTAAATTTTGAATTGGAAATATTAATTAGCTAGATAAGTTTTTGCATGACTAATTTGGGTATCTAAAACCATGTTTTAGCCGAGGAAAATTGGATTTATAAATACCCAAGGGTTGGAAAATTCTGGAATAGCCGAGAGGTTTGATCAGAAATTTTCAGTTTGTTTTCTTTTGGATTTCAAACTATTTCTGGATGATTTTAGTTACTGAATGAATTTGGTTTTGAAGTGGAAATTTTTAATAGCTAGCTAAGTGTTTAAATGCTGAATTTGAGTACCTAACACCCTGTTTAAACCAAGGGAAAAATTTGATCCAAAGTATATTAGTTGCTGAAATTTTATGTGATAGTAAACGGTGGAGTTGGGATCTTAACTTGATTTTAAATTTTTCCCTGAATCTTGATGGATGGAAATGTCTGGAATTTGTTGTTTTGGAGTTTTATAAGAAATGTATGGATGGTTGAATAAAAAACATTTTGGTGTTAAAAGAGAAAAAGGAGTTTTTCACAAGTGAAGAATGAAACTTCAGATTTTCGGATGTCCCTGACCAGTTTCAGTAAAATGCTCATATCTTGGTGTAGAAAAATCCATTTAAGGCGCCGTCAGTGGCATTTGAAACTAGAAACATAGGCCTTTGTCCTGTAGAAATTTCGTATTTTTCCTCCATGTATACTGCTGACCGTAAATCCTTGAAGTAGACTGTTTTGGTAGGAATGCCCTGTTTCTTTGTGAAACTGAAATTGGGTTTTGGATTGAACTTGTAGCTTACTTGTGGTTTAAATTCTTGATTAAATTGTGGTTAGAAGTAATTGATGTTGTCAGGGGCTAATGATTGATGAAGCCCTTGGCCATTGGAATGATTTTATAAAGTATTACTGGGTGATGGAAGTTAATTGCTGGAATGTCTTGGGGCTTTACCTTTATTTTTATTTGCTTATCATGGGTTTGCTGAAACCAAGTGCTAATGATTGATGAAGCCTTGGTTGATCATTTTATTTTATTCAGAGATGCACTTGTTGAAATCTAGGGCTAATGATTGACGAAGCCCTAGTAATTTGCTATGTGATTTTTGCCATATTTTGATCCATATTATAACTTTGAAACGGAATCGGTGCTGTGGAAGTTGTATCGACCTTGCGAACTCGAGTAACTGCGATCAAATTAATCAAAAATATTTTTCCAACTAGTATTATATTATAAAACTCCATATCTAGTGTTTTGCCTAAAACTTTCCAACTCGATAATTTCCTTTAACTCAAACTAGCCTTGATAGCTATAGTAAATAAGTTCTATAGCTTTTGGAAACTCTAAGTCTTATTTTAATTCCTTTTCTTACCTTAAGCTTTGCACTTGGATAGTTAACTGTAGGAAAAGTTCCAAAATATGAGTTTTACTAATTTTAGTGAAAAGCTTGGGAGACTTGCTCGGCAAGAAACCCTATTTTAGGAAAAATAGTTTTAAGGATAATTTTTGCAAAAGCCGTAACTTTAAAGAAATGTTCAAAGTAACTTCCTAACGTGGATATTAAGAGGTTTGTCGACTTATTTCAAGAAAACAATACTAGTTACCCTTTTATAAGGATAAGTATCTTAAGGAAAACTACAATAAACATTTCTTCTACTTTTGTCAAGTTTTAACCTAAGGGACTCTTGATTCTTCTAAGGAAAAGTAGACCAGTAGTATATTAAATATACCTCGATGTCTATAAACTTAAAAGCTGAGTAGAAACTTATAGTTTCAAAATTTGGTTTTTAGGATATTGCGAGGACGCGGAATTCGATTTCCAACTTGATATCTGAACTCCACTCTTGGTGAGTGTCCCTGCCTGTTCTATGCTTACCTGTTTAAAGTACTTCCTTGACTCGATATGTGATAAATTGTAAAACTGGTTTTTGATCCATCGAAGTGAGCTATGTGTACTTTATCGCACTAGCCGTTCGAGTGGTGACTTGTGCAAAAACAATTTTTCTCCTGAATCCTTGAATCTAAATGTAGTTACGTCGTTGGGTGAATCCCTCGACGCATGAATCTAACTACCATAAATCTAAATGTAGTTACGTCGTTGGGTGAATCCCTCGACGCATGAATCTAACTACCATAAATCTAAATGTAGTTACGTCATTGGTGAATCCCTCGACGCATGAATCTGATTGCAATCACGTCATTGGGTAAATCTCTCGACGCATGAATCTGATTGCAATCACGTCTTTGGTGAATTCCTTGACGCATGAGTCTAACTACCATAACGTCGTTGGGTGAATCCCTCGACTAATTTTATACGGGTATATCTCGAGTATACTGCGTCGGTAGACGAAGTTCGGGCCCGAAGCAGAGGTATGAACGGTGACGGGTTAGGATTAAAATAAGTGGATCTACATGGATTATAAGTAGTGAGAGTTGACGGAGGGTCAACTACGATCATTGGTGATCAAGCGAGGGAAATGGCTCCTGAGAGCCCACGTATCCTACCTTGTGCTGTTATACGCTTTCCTAACTGGTTAAATTTGTGCAGTTATTAATCGCTGTTTGAAATTATGTGATTGCATGTTTTGGGGCACCACTGAGCTTTAGCTCACCCCACGTTTATTGTTTTCCTTAACAGGTTCTGGAAACTGAAAGCTGGATGCTTATTTATGTTTTCCTTTTGGGATTGTATTTGAACACTAATACTTATTCTGTGGGCTGTAATGTGTTACTTGGAATAATGTATTTTCCTTTTTGGATTGCCACTTGAAGCTGGAAAATGTGTAAACCCTAATTCGATTCTTGGCTTGTAAGTTGTATTATGGACTTATGCATTTCATCTATCCGGTTTGATACGACTTTGTACTTTGGTAAGTAGCACGTAGGACGTTTAAGGGCCTCGACTGGTTATTTTATCATTGCTATCTCTGAAGTTAATGTGGCTTTAGGTATGATTCTATTCGGGGAAAAATTGTTTTGTAATAGATTAGTTTATTCTTCGAAAGGTTTCGGGTTAGATTGCTCGTGTGAGTCCTGGCGAGAGCTGGGCAGACGGCCCGCCAACCCTCTGGTTCGCCTTAGGGAGAAGTGGGGTCGTCACACCCTATGGTTTCGTGGTTATGGGAGGAGAAATGGCGAGCGCAGCAGGAAATGTGCTGGCGGATGTATTGCTAGCGTTGATCTCTCTGTGTTGAATGTTGTCATTGTTAAGAAAGGTGAGAATGACCTGGCTGGACTCATTGATATTGAGAAGCCAAGAATGAGAGGTTTACAAAAGGCTTCAAAAATTAGAAAGGTCTTCAATGTGTTAAAAGAAGGGGATCTGAGAAAGTATGTCAATACACACAGGAGGACGGTCACAATAAAGGTTGATGAGTTTTTGATTTACTGTTATTCTTTACTGCATTTGTTCCTTTTCCAAGTCGAGAGCAGAAACACTCTAGCGCGGATTGTTGTTGAGTTTGTATCAATGTTTATATCATTAGGTAAAAAGGCTAGCAAAGCTCGTAAGATGCAGAGGTTGGTTGCTTCATTGATATTGCAGAGAAAGAGAGCAATAATTGCTCAGAAAAAGAAGAGAATTGCAAAGGTTAAGTCTGAAGGAGCCGAGTATCAGAAGCTTCTTGCTAGCAGGCTAAAGGAGCAGGGTGAGAGAAGAAGTGAGAGTTTGGTTAAGAAGAGGTCAAGGTTAGTTGCAGGGTTGAAGGCCTCTATTGTTGCTTAAGTTATGACCATATTTTTCATGTTCATGTGTGCGATTTGTATGCTTCATTTTTATGCCTACGTTTGAGAAATTTTTGCCTAATACTTTCTTTTTTTTCCCTTGTAATTGATTTAAGCTTTGGAAGAAGGTTCTGTGAAATAGAGTGCAGCATATTGTTTTTGTTTATCTGAAAATTGGAATTGCAGCAACCTACGAGATATCAATGGTGATTAGATAAGCTGTTGCTATAAGCAATAGAAGCCGTAATCTGAATGAATGAGAAAGTTTTAGAAAGCAGCAACGGAATAAGTAGGTCTGTATACAACTAATAATAAATAAAGTTGACTTTTGAGGATAGTATATGCGTCGAAAGTAGCTGGTTCATTAATACATACGTACAAAAGAAGAGGGTTCATGAAAGAATCAACGACCCTTGTAAGAAACTTGCCAAAATGTAGGAGTGCAAACCATTGGTAAGGTGCATGTATCTTACGAAGACAAAAAATGAATAACTCTGCTCTAGGTTAGTTTTGATTTCTTGGTAGAGCTGGTGGGTTCATCTGGAGAGTTGCCTGCGTTGAGCTTGTCTAATTCATCAAATTTTTCAGAAAGGCGCATGCGAGTCTTTGAAGGTGCAAGATTTTGCTCTGGAGCAAGTTACATAACAAAGAATTGGTTAAGAAATAGCAAGTAAATAACAGTACATGAAAAGAGAGCATACGTAATTAAAGCGTAAAAGGGTAAACATAGAACAAACTTAAGGAGTCTTAAAGCTAGTGAGAATAATGCAAGTGTCTGCTCTATATCAGCACTAGGAATAAGGTTAGGACAGAATAGGTATTAAAAACATGAGATGGACTTGAATAAATAAAAAGGTTTCATTTTTGTACAGGACGTTAGCACATAAAAACTAAGGTTTCATTTTTATTGAATGCATGCTGCACAAAATACTTGAGGCAAATAAATGGAAGAAGAAGGCAAAATTTGGAACTAATATAGCAAATTGAATAGAAGGTGAAATGGCCTAAAAAACAACAGAGTTAAGAGTTTGGACAAATCTACACGGTTGTGGCAGTCATTTTTTGCTAACTATGTAAGAGGATTTGTTGCACTAAACAAATGTAATTTGGGAGCAAGGACTTTTTGGAACTCTATACACCAGTGAAAGTAAGCACAAACAAAATTTCAATATTGCACTGAGGGTAATCACAGCATACAAATTTGTGGTTCTGCTGCAAAACTCAGATGTACATGAGTAATTTTAACAACAAGTGTTAAATACACTTGTAAATCCAACCACACAATTCTATGCATGCTCTAAATAGATAGATACAACATCTGCAATGGAAAAGCAATGACAAAGCATATATATATTTTAAGCACAACTGAAATAGGATTTCCCACTATCATATATAACTTCAATGGATAATCATCTGTGTTAAGAAGGCAATAGTAAAGATAACAGGAAAAGCAAGAAATAATACGTATAGCTACTCGGTGAAAACCAATGAACAGAATATAACTTGAAAATTAATTTAGAGCTGAGCTGCAAAGATACTTGGGGGAAAAAAGAACGTAACATAAAAAAGTTGTAATAGGATCTATTCTTGTGGACCTTTCCTGCGTTTTTCTTGAATTTATTAAATAGAAATTGAAACATGACATAAATGCAAAATAAGACTATTAGTAGCAGTAAAAGTAAATAATTAAATAGGAAGTAATCGAATAAGAAATTAAAATTAAGTTCAGAGTATCCGTGCGCTTACCTGTATCAGCTAGTTCCAGCGTTGGGGACTGGTCATTAAGCAGTGGCAAATCATTTTTTGTCTCACTTACTACCTGAGCTGAACTGGTAGCATGATCAACTTCATAGTAATATATAACTGTGTAACGTTGCCTAGCGTCTGCTAGCTGTGCTTGGACTGGTTTTATATGAATCAGAAAAGTCTTTGATTTCAGTTGTTCATGAACAAGGTCAAGAGGGAGCTCAACATTCTGAGAACAAGAGGGAAAAAAACATGAGTAATGTTGTAATAGGTCTGTCAACAACTTTTTGAGACAAAATAAAACCTCATTAAAATGCTGCGTTGCTTCAATGGAGGTGAATGTTAAAAGCTTCTCAGCTAGTTCTCCAAATATGGAAGCTGGTATAGCTCCACTGTCATCAACTAAATCAACATCAAAGCAACATCTGGAAGTATAATAAATACAAGGAGAATTAATATTTTGGGGAATTTATCATCATACATGATAAAAAAAGGTTCACACAGCGATGACTTATGAACTATCACCTTGGTACAGCTAGTTGCTTCTCCTTGCACGAGTTGCAAGTAAATTCAACTTTATAATCTGCTGCTGTGGCTCGATAGCAATTCTTACAACTCATATACCAGTATTTTTGGAATATGTGTTCAAAGTAGAAGCGAGCTCTCACCCAAGTTATCTGCAATATTAATAATGATAAGAAAAAAGATGTAAATATGGCAACAGCAAATTGTAAAGGGAAAATGGGAAAGAGTGTTTTAATACCTTCTGTGATGGGTTAACATTGCAAATTAAGGTAGCTTTCTGATCAACTCTGAGAGAAATTGCAAGATTATACTTCATGTAGTCTCTTTTATCAAGAACATCTGCAATCATTTTAGAATTTCTAAGTGCCTTGTGCAAGGAGAAAAATGCAGAGAGGATGTAAGAAGGGAAAATCATCTGAGGTTGAAGTTTTATGAGATAGAAACATGTCATTGGAGTACAATATACCAGTTTTTCAGCTCTCTTACTTCCTGTATAGGCGGATCAACAAGTATGACAGAATCAAACCAAGTGCCTAATGCAACATCTATAGAAAAAGCATCAATGTTATGACAACTGATTCTGTGAAATGTATATATAAGAAGGCGAGAAAAAAAATATTTCAATGTATAAAAGGAAAAAGTACCATTGTAATTCTTGACTTTAATTCGACGCGCAATAATGACAGGATAGCTGTGGAGGTTAGACAGTAGCTGTTGTCCTTCATTAGTAAGAAAGTCATCCCATAAAGATAGAAATAGTGTTTGACATCTGTAATAATTATTAATATAAGTAATAAGTAGGTAATAACTTAATTCAGATTTGCGGTTAAGATAAGAAATGAGATACTCACTCTTCATCAAGAAGGACAAACTTTTGAACATTTGATTCTTTTGTGTTTCTATTCAATGTCTTCCTGTCTAATGCAGCAATCACAACACCTAGCACATCTGTAAAGAAAGAACCAGCATCATGGAAGAAGCACTAATAACAGTGTAAGTACAGCAATATTAATTTGTCGAAAGACTTACCAACTGATTTATTCCTGTCATCCATGTGATGCACCAAATCAGTAAATTTTGTATAGTTAAACTTCACAGGCATGATTTCATTGGCATCATCATTTATTTCTTGAATGACAGTTTTAGTGCTGATCACCCATTGGATAGTGAGCTCAGTTGTCTGAAATTTTGCTGGGATAGGTTTCACTTCAGCATTCGTGATCTTGTATTTTTTGTAAACACGTAAGAGCGGACTCATTTTAGGAATATCAGCATTGAAGATTATTGCTTCTACTTTTGATCCCTGGAACATAGAAGCCTACAATGCTGAGAGGGGCACTGGAATTCCCTCCCAATGCTTCTATCCCTGGAACATAGAAGCACTGCTGAGAGGGGAACTGGACGGGGCCGTGGGCGTGGAATTAGGCAACCTACACCTGAGAGGGGCACTGGGGAAACCTCATACGGACCAAACCCTGAACCTAGGATTGACCCCAACGTCCAAATAGCTGCTGCCATGCAGCAAATGACTGATTTGCTAGCCCAAGTGGTGCACCAACAGGGTCAAAACCCTAACCCTAACCCTGGGAACCCTGGTAATCACATAGAACTTTGAAGGGATTTGTTTTCATTGAGTTTGTGATTTAAGACTTGGATTTGAGCAAGGCAATGATATTTGATGGATGATTTCTGAGCCATACTTGTGAAATGTTTCTTGCATTATGTACTCGATTGCATATCATGCGTGCTTGCATGTGAGTTAATGACATGATTTGGCTTCAATGAGTTCTGGGAAAGTCTTGTGCTGGACACCAACGTCTCCACTCTGTTTATGGTTCATGTTCATGTTTATCTGGAGCTCAAGAAGGGGCTCCCTCTTAATGTTAATGTTAATGTTAAATGATCTATTTGAGCGTTGGGTGTTCAAGTGCTATGATTTCCCTGGCTCACGAGTGCACTAAACGAACATTTGATCTCTGAATCATGACATCATCGAAATGATCGAAATGCAACATTGTGAAATATATTTGTTTAATGATTTTACTGGTTACTCGCTGAACTTCTAGCTCACCCCAAAAATATTTTATTCCCCTCCACAGGGTTCAAGGCGAAGGAAGGACTTGTAGTACTTGTGCACGTGACTGGATGGCCTATGTTTTGTACAATTTGGATTTGGAAATCATTTTATGTATGGTTGAGAATTGTTTCCGCTTCGCTTATAACATGTAATTTTTGGAGAATTTGATGAATATTTGAGATTTATATTGTAATTTATTTGAGGACTGTAGTGAACGACTGAGTCCCGGCGAGAGCTGGGCAGGCGGCCCGCCGAACCCTCTGGTTCGCCTTAGGGGGAGGTGGGGCTGTCACAACCTATATCTGAGAGGGGCACTGGGGAAACCTCATACGGACCAAATCCTGAACCTAGGATTGACCCCAACGTCCAAATAGCTGCTGCCATGCAGTAAATGACTGATTTGCTAGCCCAAGTGGTGCACCAACAGGGTCAAAACCCTAACCCTAACCCTGGGAACCCTGGTAATCACATAGAAGGCGAGGATAGAGCCCTTGAGAGATTTCAGAAATTCTCCCCACCCAAATTTCTTGGAGGCCCTGATCCTGACATGGCTGAGAAGTGGTTGGAGAAGATGATCGATATTTTTGCTGCTTTACACTATACCGAGGAGAGACAGGTGACATTTGCTGTCTTTCAACTAGAGGGAGCCGCCCATTCCTGGTGGAATGTCATTCGAATAAAATGGGAAAGAGAACAAACCGCGAGGACGTGGGCGAACTTTATGAGAGAATTTAACGCCAAGTTTTTCCCTCCCCTAATCCAAGAAAAGAAGGAAGATGAATTCATTCGGTTTCGCCAGGGAACTCAAACCGTAGCTGAGTATGAGAGTCAATTCACTCGGTTGTCTAAGTTTGCACCCGAACTGATCTTAACCGAACAAAGACGGATAAGGCGTTTTATTCAAGGACTAAATATTGAGATTCAAAAGGATTTGGCGGTAGCTCAACTTAGTACCTTTAGTGATGCTGTGCAGAAAGCCCAGCGGGTTGAAGATGCGAGGCTACAAGTTAGAAATTTCCAAACCAAGAAAAAGGGCTTTCCTGGGAGCAGCTCAGAACAAGCGGATAATAGTACAACTCCTAAAGTTCGAAAGGGAAACGGGGAAGTACGGCTACCGGGGGTGACAGGTGGTGTTCCACAGGGGGGATCAGTCTCTGCTACTCGTGGTCCCTGTGAATATTGCGGAGGGCCAAATCATACGGAAGCAAATTGCTGGAAGAAAGAAGGGAAATGCTTGCGCTGTGGAAGCGCCGAACATCGGATTGCTAACTGTCCAGCTCGCCTGCGCGAGCGGAGAGGGACTCTGCCACCAACCAAGACCAATTCTCAGCAACCAGCCAAGATCAACCCTGGACAGACGAAAGGAGAAGGGACTGGATCGAAGGCACCAGCTCGGGTATATTCTCTAGAGCAGCATCAGGTCCCTGACTCGTCTGAGGACGTAGAAGGTACGATCCGTTGGGTACCTTAGGTTTTGATAGATTCCGTTGATAAGAAAAATTTCGAGGACGTAATTTCTTTAAGGGGGAGAGAGTGTGAGGACCCGTAATTTTCTTAATTTCTAGGTTTTATTTTCTTTGAATTGCACTTTTTTCACATTTTCTTTATTCAAAGAAATTTAAAACATAATTTTATTTGTAAATATAGTTTTTAAATAATTTTTCTAGTATCGGTTAGTTTTTGAGAAAATAAGAGCGTATATCGGATGTGGGACTCGCTAGTACGGTAAGTTTGATAAAATTCTGCCAATTAGGTTAAGTTGTGTATACCGGGTTTAATTTATCAGGTGTGAAGAGATAATTAGAAGTTACCTAGATAGATTATCATTGGAGAGACAAAAGGATAAGTGTTAAACTTAGGATGCCATGTGTCGCTTTTTCATTCGAGTTTGGACTTTGACCATTCTTTCTTACCTCTACTAATACTCGATTTTGACCCAAAACTCACCCAATTTTGCAAGCCTTTGGCCGGCCCTCTTGACAAGAAGAAAGAAAAGAAAACTCTCAACCTTTTGCTTCTAATCTTGCCTAAATCTTGCAAACCAACCGATTAATCTTGAGCTTACTCCACAAAAACCCTTAAGTGTGAGGTTGTGAGGTGATTAGTGGAGTTATTTGGAAGCTTAAGGTGCTAAGTGGTCTCTTTTCTTTGGTTACTAAGGTGAGTAGTGAAGGAACCCCTCTCCTCTATCTAATGATGGTTAATTCATGACTTGTGGTAGCCTAAGGGATGAAATTAAGTGTTACTGCATGATTTTGGTGAAGTTTTATAATTATTGATGATTTTTCTGTGTTCATATGATTATCATTGTGTGGCTATGTATGATGATTGGAAATGATGTTGAAGGAAGCTAGAAGGTGGAAAGTGTGGTTAATTGCAGAAAATTTCTGTTTTGGAAGGAAATGTTGAAAGTTAGGGTTTCATTTTCTTACATTCTGCCTGGCACTGTACCTCATAGTTAGAGGCTGAATTGGATTTGGGTTAAAACATGAAAGTTGTGTAGAATGATATTTTAGAGATCCCTACAAAATTTCAGGTCAATCAGAGCCACGTATCTTGTGAAAAGACCGAAATACCCCTGCTGCCCTGTTTCTACCCGAACTTGGTAATCAGTTCTGGTAATTGGTTAATTTGATAGGGAATGCTTCTGATTTGGTTGTTGATGTCTTCTGATGAATTGTAGCCTTGTATCTTAGCTTTCAGATGGCTTTTGAATCACTTGATTTGGACTTAGGTAGCCTGACTTATGATGTTTGAACCAGAATGCGGTTTGTGAATCTATTTTTGCGGTTCTGGTGTAGTATATTTAAATTTTGACCTGGTTAACCTCGGAACTGGACAGAGTATCCTTCTTCAACATTGTATCCCTACCTCTTAGCTTCGAAACGGTGTATCTTGTACCTCCATCCGATAATCGTAGTGCCAATGGTGCCAAAACCGCAAAATAATGTCAAAAACTATTTTTATGGTTTAGAGTTTAAGTCCATTTCCGGATTTCTCTGGTTTACTCTAGTGCTTATACATTCTTATGGAGCCCTATTTTGGTGGTATTTGGAATTGGTTTATGACTTGTAATCGAGTCTTATTGTGCTTATTTGAATATTTTAGGGCTTGACTTTCATTTCCGGTCATTTTCCTTGCTAAATTTTGTACTTGAATGACTTTAAGCCTAGTGAACGGCTTTTGGAAATGAGATTATTTTTGTATGAGATGTTGGGACTGATTTGAGGAAATAATGAAACCATTAATGGCTGGAAAATATGTGACGCCCCCACTTCTCCCTAAGGCGAACCAAAGGGTATCCGCGGGACGCCTGCCCAGCTCTCGCCAGGACTCACTACAATCCATCATTCAAAAGCCCGAAATACTTTAAGTAACTTCAATACATAATTAAAGTACTTCAAATATCTCACACTTACAATTATGTAGCTTTCCAAGCTTAAATACAACCCAACGGAAAAGGGGTACAATAGCCATCCGTTATAATATAACTTAAAATCTTCGAAAGAAAATAATCTAGTACTACTCACGAGTACCCTTGGTCTCGAACCCTGTAAAAGAAAACCACAACGTGGGATGAGCTACACAGCCCAGTGAGGTTCCAAGACACTCTAACAATTCAAATAAATCAAGTAAGTTGGGCATATCATATGCATGGTTCAAGGTTACACAATGGCATGTTATCATGAGGTGATGATCACTGTACGGGTAATTTGAGACATGTAACATGGTATAAGACATTTATCATGAGACAGTTATCATGGTTCAAGACATTGGCATGTATAGTTCACGAGTAATTGGAGCTTATTACCGGTGCGAGTAATTCAGCATATTACAAGTATGGAGCATTAACATGAAACAGGTATCATGATATGAGTACATTAAACAGGTAACAGGTATGGAGCATATCGCAGGCATGGCTCAGGATTTCATGTTGACATTTTAGCATGAAACAATTATCATGATACAAGGTAAACATATACTGTAGGATACGGTGTTCCAGTGGAACTCTGTCGGTCATCTGCACCTTATGACTTCCGGATCCCCTCGGTTTGACTGGCCATCACCTTATCCCTCCAGTGGTAATACTCGAGTATACCGAAACAGTGTCCCAAGGTTCCAACCTACCCGACCGAGCCCAGTCCTGGCTCGAGTAGGTTAGTAACCATGAGCAGGGCCCAGTTCAGCTTAAAGCTTACAACATGCACAGGTAACCAAGTAATTCGACAAAAGGT